TCCCACAATCGGATAGTTTATTTCGTCCTGGTAATAATCTATTATTTCGGAATATCGCGGGTATTTCCGGGTGAAAACTGAGGGGAAAAGTGGTTTTGAGAATTTCACACTATCCTTCACTGTCAGTGACTGACCAGAGATATTTTAAGTGGGCCAAAATCTGTCCCTAATTTTACTCTTTTAAAACTGAAAGAAACCCTTTTGGGTTGCTTTAAATCCCTTTAACCATAGCCTCAAAATCCTTTTTTTGCTTTTCTTATTCCTTTCTTTATTTCTCTCTTTAATTGAATTATTGATTTCTTAACTGCCCATCCCCTCTTTTGATACGCCTTTTAAAAAAGCCCCCCTTTTTGACCAATGGAGTTCATCCATTTAGGCCCATTTTTTTTTTAAATCTAATTTCCCTACTGGGAAACAAAATTTGTTGGGCAGCTAGAACTATGCTCTAAAACGTATATTGGAAACCCAAGATCACCACTGCCCAATATCAGGAACACCCAAATTTAGCCCGCCAGGTAATTTTTCAGCCCCCAGGAAATCGGCCAAGCAAAATGGGGGACGAGTTTTGATTGCAGTTTCGGGGTAATTCCATGATATTTGAAACAAGGAGTTGTGATCATTTCCCCCAAGTATTTTTAACCGCAAGAAATTAATTTGCGCTTTGTTGGCAAAAACCCAAAGTCGCAGATTGTTTCCTCTTTGGTTCCATCAAAACCGTTCTAAAAAACAACCCTTTTACCCGTATCAAAAAGTTACTAGACTCAAATTTCCTGTAATATTTTCCCAATAAATTTTGTCAAAAGTTAAAAATCTCACATTATCACAATTTTCATTCTAGATGCCTTATGAATTTCGCCCCAAAACGCTTAGCACTCCCTATCAAGGTTTGGGGCCTAATAATTCCAACCCCAAAATTTAAAATTTTGTACGACCCCGAAAAATTGTAGCCAAACAGATTCTGTGTTCGATTTTCTAATCTTAAATATTTCAAGACAAAAATTTTAAATTTTCTCTGAAAAAACACGCCACTCCCCCACCCTTCCGTTGACCCACGCGAGGAATAGTTTATAATCCTGTATGTTGCGTTCAGAAGGCATTTCTCTATTTTCAGTTGAACCAGGTCTCTGTTATACCAATAAATCTTTACTCCTTCATGTAACTTAGCCCATCTTCTTATTTCTAAGACTCCTACTATTTGTAGAGTAAACTTTAAGGAGCTAGCCCTCTTCCCCCTTGCTTCTCTCTTTGTTGATAAAATTGTTTTGCATTACAGCAACTTTTTTTTGAGCATTGTCTTTTAAACTATCCCGAGGTTCTGGGGTAAAATGTGTTTTTAAACCCCTAATACGCAGCCTGTTTTTTTTCCCACAAACCCCAAACCTCTAAAATTTCTTAAAAATTTCCCTAGAAAAGTCACAATTACCCTTCAATTTTTTGGCTAATGCAACCACCCTCCCCAGGGATGAACCCCATCCCTTGCTACATATCACGTTTGCCAAAAAAAGGGTCCCAGTTATAAATGAAGGATTGCAATTTCCCTTGCAGTCCCTGTCTAGCCAGCAATTTATGCCAAATTGCCCGGGGACATCCATTCTTGCCCCCACTCCCTTCTGGAAAGATGCTACTTATGACGGGGGAACCCCCCTTAGAAAACTCTTTATGGCTGATGTCTTACCGGCCTTGTCTCCTGCCCTTCCCATGTCATTACCCCCGCACTAAGACGATAAGGTTTTTTCCCCATTACTGACAAAATTTTTTCCCAAACCTCTGTATTCACCGCACCCTAAAAAAAGGGCAAACCCTGTTGACCTTTTGTCTCTCTTAAAAAAAGCATGGTCAATAAACTTCCTGAGAATCTCCTACTATTAATTTTTCCCTTATTGCAGGGAAATCGGGTCCCTTCACCTCACAAACCCTGAAGTGCACTGGGCCGGAACAGAGAATCGTTTTCCTACTTGCTCTCTTTTAAACCCCCCTTAATTTCCCTTTTTCCCTGAACTGTGACCACTTACCACTTAAAGCGGCTGCCCTTCACGCTATTGACCATTTCCTCTTTACCATAAACCCTTTTCCACCTCGCCCCCAAACCCATCTATGCAAGCTTCAGCCTTTATTTTCCCCCTGAAAGTAGAATTCCTTTTTCACCTTTTAAACCCGGATTCTAAAACACTACAACAAGCCTGGTGCGGAACAGCCCACGCTAACCCCCCAAGAGCTTAGGACAGGTTTTACAGCAGGTGACCACGACCTAGGAACCGGGCCCTGTTTTTTGAGGTGTGATTGAGATTTTTCCGGGAGTTTCCCGGAGAGAGTTTGGGGGGTCAACCCCCCCGGGGGCCCGGTCGTGACCAGGCCTCCTGGGGGATCAGCCCCTATCAACCAGGCGTTGCTGCGGGCTGCACGCAAACCAAGTACACCCAGCCCGGCTGATCGGGAAAACTGACTTTAGTTGCTTGCCCCGTCCCAGTTTGAAGACTCCAGGGGTCTGTTGGTAACCCCCTTTATGGGGGGCTGGGAGGCAGTTTTGAACATCTCGGGCCCCTGACATTTTTGTATGGTCTCTAACGTGCTAGTGACACCCCTGCTTTTCATTGGGGGGGAGGGGTGCATCGTCGCCAAGTTTTTTGCTTTGTATGAGTGATTTTCGTGTGCAATTTGGGATGTCCCTCTAGGATTTTCAGGTTTATAACATGTACTCCCCTCCTGCGTTTCCCGGGGTACGGTTTAGAAACCTCAAGCGCCCCCCATTTATTGAGGTGTTTTATCTCCGGGGTTTTTTTCTCCGTAGTGATATGGATGTACAAGTGGTGTGATGTGAGAGTGACGAGGGGGGATGTACTCACCTAGTTGGTTCAGGGGGCGTTCCAGCTCCCGGCCCTGCCTCTTCACTGGCCGCTACTGGGGCCTTTTTCCGCTCAAAGTATATAATGGTCCTGCCCCCACTACATCATTCCCCGCTATTCCACTTCCTTACAACTCTGTGCTGAAAAAAAATATTCCTGAATCCCCGTGTTCACTGAGTCTTCAACTTCCAACTGTGACTCCTTGTTGCTGTGCCCAAATTCTGGAACATTTTGTCTCTGTCCACCCTTGTTTTACCCCTCAGTTTTTTATTTGTCTTATCATTCCCCCCATCTCTCCTTCTTCCGGTGTCAAGTCGATTTCCCTTTAACCCTCCCCGAGGCCATACCCTTATCCCGGGACTAGTTTGTTGAAACCTTTTCATTTCTCTATTTATTTACGTGGGTTGGGTAGTGTGGGTTCCAAATGGTGCTGCATACTCCGTATGGGCCTAAAATACACAGGTACAGGTCCTGAAAGACTCCCTTTTTAAATGTCGGTTTCTGTTCCAAAT